TTTATAAAACATACAGACTTTATATAAAGCATAAAACTGTACTTTTTCTTTTCTTTATTTTACAGAAAGACTGCTTTCCATTTATATTCTTATTTGGCTTTAGCAACCTGATATATGATACTGCCCTAACCTTCCAGAAAAAGATGTGTAGGAGGCTTAAAATAATATTACTTTGAGAGAGTTAATGCAGCACACAGTTCCACACTTTTATCCAGTTTATTCTTTTTTCTGTGTCTTTTTGGTTATCTCTGAAGACTGCTCTGTTTCCATTGTTTCATCCTTTAGCATTCACATATCAGAGCAATAAGTATTTCATTACTGGTTTATCTGTCCAGAGGCTTGAGAAGCGGTAACAATTAACCCTCCCTTCACAGTGATTGATACAGGCTTTGCTTTCAATTTGTTCCACTACACAGATCATGAAATTCTGAATGCAATCATCCTCATTGACCTACACTTTCAAACACACAGCTACAATGAGACGAAAGTAATTATTAAAAGGAACACAGGACTACTGAGATCTGAAACAAAGTCTTTTAAAAATCTGTTAGATGACCTTCTGGTAAAATTGGCAAATTCTGATGCTAAGGAAAATGACAGCTTTGTGTCTCTTTCTGGAAATATTCAATGCAATCTGATCAATGTATATTATGGTGATTGCAATGGCTATAGTATGTACTTAGAAAATACAGAAAGCCATTGTAGAACTGTTACAGAGTTAAACTGTTAACATTGTAGCTTCTTCTGTCTAAAATTTTTTCAAGGATACTAAACTTCCTGATTTGTGTAAAAAGAAAAACACTGACCATAGCAAAGAATCAAGATTGGAAAAGCAATAGTTTTGCTCTCTAAGAAGAGCTACATACCTGAGTCCTACATTTTCCCTCTCTCCCTCCATTTAGATGAAGACTCACGGTAATAAATTAATACATTTTTTGCAAAGTCTGAAAAATAGCTTCAAATAAATATTAATCTAATGCAATCAATACATATATATATGAGAAATGGAGAGGGGCTAGTAGGAGAGTGGTGACTAAAGAACTATATTAAAACAAGAGTTGCAGTTAAAGAAAATTAGGGCAGAAAGCAAGGCAGCAGGCCTGAGGCTCTAATCACAGAACAGAGTGACGGAGATGAACCAATACTGCATGGATTAGCAATGAATTATTTTGAACTGTAATCATATGCCTGCACAAAAGAGAGGCAAAAACTAACCATTACTCATAAACTGATCTGCTGATTGAGAGAGAGAGAGCATAATTTCATATGCTAAAATAATTCAGAAAAATGAAAACCTAAAGATGTGGTTACACTTAAGTAACATTTTATTATTAATGTTGGCCACAAAATACATAATGTGGAGTGTTTAGAGTATAAACTGTAAAGTGCTTGGATTTAAACAGGATTAAACCAACCGTTTCTTTTAAGATTAGGATGTGATATATCTACTCCACTCCCCATTCTTCCTTGCCCCCCCTAAATCACTTTCGGGTAACTTTGACACCTCCAATGTATAATTTTTTTTTGTATTTAGTTGTAAAGAAGAAACAGCATTTAAGGAATTAAGTTTCTTTGGAAAATCTGGAAAATTCATATCAAATGAAGATGCAATTGTTAGAACTAATTTTGTTAGGAAGAAAAAAATATCAAAACTGCTGGTGGCAAGAGATTCCTGATATTCTTATGAACAGACTGTTTAAATGAAGAGCACTTTAATCAGTAGAGGAATCCTCACGTTTCTAATGTCTTGCTGTGCATTCTGCAGGTTATAGTAGCAGCTGGTAGAGGTCATATATCTTTTGTGAGCATCCCAAAAAGGCTCACTGCCAGACTGTTAAATTATGAATAAGCAATGAACAAAAGAATGCAGATACGGTGGTGACAAGATAATCCAAGCAAATTTATCTATGACAAATTTCACAGGATTAACAAATTACATTTACACAGAACAATAAAAATGTGCAAAAAATGATGAGCCTACTTTTCCTTACAGCATTAGGAAAACAAAAAAGTCACCAATCCACTGCATATATTTAAATTTAACTCAGTCTAAAGTAAGACATTTGTAAGACATTCAAGACATCTTTGTAACATTTTTCCATGTTAGGTACACATATACAAACATGGTATATCTGGCATATATTTTATATGAAATTTATGTTATAAACAGTGTGTGCATGTGTGTGCGTGTGTGTGTATACACATGTGCATACCTTATACCAAAATTTTGTACAAAAAAAATCATCCCATTCACATATGTGAGTAGAAGGAATGTTTTCCAGAAGTAGATTCTGAGGAATAAATTATTTTTGTAGAAAAAAGTATGCTCCCTCAATCTGTACAATACATATTAGTTACTAAAATATCCTTATTCATTGATGCCTCCATTTTCTAGGACCAGAGAGAGAGGTTCTACAGTTTCAATCATTCCACTTGCCCCACCAAAATCATGCAACCTTTCGGAGTAAAGTGCTTCTGGATGAAGTTTAGAACTAGCATCTTTTTCCACAGCATTATGGTAGCAGAAGGAAAATTCTGAGATTTAGGGAAGAGGGTCTTAACTACAGCTACATTCACATACAGACTACCCTCAACCCAATATTAAATTTTTCTTTATAATAAAACTCTTTTGATAAATCTTACAAATGAAAGATCCCTAGTCTATCAGATGCCGTGAGATATGACTGAAATGACCTACGATTCCATAACGGGGTCTTAAAATGCTATGTGGCATTATTTTCCATAATATGTGATAAAGATTTGAGTTTTAATGCTTTATACTAGGTACCCAAATCAGCACCCTTTGATTCTGCATTAGCCTACTGATGACAATAAAATATGGTAATCAGATGTAATTTATTTTAAGACAGTCTGATGTTTTAAATTTTATAGTGTATTTTTCACTTACACTTCCTATTACCTTTTGCTTTTTATCTTCAATATTTTAGTAAAACATCTCTCTAAATGAGTCCTTTGCAACATTTTATAAAGCAACCTATTCTTTACGTAAACAAGAAATTTGCTGAATGTAAAAGTGAATATTTAATTAAGATATATAAGCAAAATACTCACCATTTTCACCTACAAATACTCAAATACTGCTTATCTAGTCCTTTGAAGCCTGAAATGTCTAATATACATTTTATAGTATAGAAGAAGCTATTTGGTTGACAGCATTATATCAAAAAATGTAAAGATAAATATGACATGTTTGTCTACTACTGCAAATCTAGCATACATTTTGCAATGATCAGTGATAGAGTCAAATGCTACACAGTTTCCTAAAGTATAGTTTTTGTCAAAAAAAAAAAAGTTATATATCAGACCAACCCCTATGGTTCCTGGCATAAAGAAATAAAAATGTTACCAAAGACTTTCCCTTCTTGAAGGTGCCCTGCGTGTGTGTGTATATTAGGGGCAAGGGAAATTAAATAATGACAACTTACCATTTATGTATGTATAGTAGTCCATTTTTTTTTTTTTTTTTTTTTTTTTTTTTTTTTTTTGACCG